CACACAGGGCAACTTTCTTCTGACTGTATATTCACCATGCCATCACTTTTACTGAGTCTGTCCTTCCATTGGGAGAAGACATACGCACGGATGAGGACAGTGTTGCTTTACGTTGCCTGTAGGTACAATTCTGTAGTTTAATTAGTCTGTGAGACCATTGTCCCAATTTTGTCAACTGTGCTCTGGTGTTAATTAGGAATACTTTGTGGATTTGACAGGGCTGTGTTTTACAATTATTGTTTCTGGTGCCTAGGTCATTGCAAGGTGGTTGTTCAAGACTTTTTATTGATCTAAAACAACTGAGTGGTTTACCAGGCTATTTCAAAGAGTAGTTAAAGCCAATCAGGCCTTAGAACCTGCTCTGTCATTCAATAAGATCATGGCTGATCTGATTGTAACCTCAAATCCACATTACTGCCTACTTTTGATAATCTTTCACCCTCTTGCATAATAAGAATCCATCTACTTCTGACTTAAAAATATTCAAGAACTCTTCTTGCATCACCTTTTGAGGAAGAGAGCACCACAGGCACATGACCCTCAGAGAAAAAAAAAAAGCCCCATCTTGGTTTTGAATGGGCAACCGCTGAATTTAAAACTGTGAGCCCTAGTTCTAGATTCCTCCCATAAAAGGAAACATCCTCTACACAATTACCCTAACAAGACCCCTCAAGATCATATACGCCTCAATCAAATCGACATTTGATCTTCTAATCTCCAGCGTACAGAAGTCTAGCCTGTCCAAATCTTCAAACCTTTCCCAGTTATAACCCCATTCCAGCTATTACTCCTGTTAACCATCTCTGAACTGATTCCAATACATCCTTCCTTAAATATGGTGCACAATATCCAGATGCAGTTTCACAAATGCTCTGTTTAACGAAACATACCCTTCCTACTTTTATATTACATTCTCCATGTGATAAATTATAATATTCTATCCACTTTCCTAATTACTTGCTGTACCAGCATACTAAATGTATGTGATTTATACACAAGGACAGCCAGAACCTTCTGCATCTCAGAGCTCTGCAATCTCTCATTACATAACCATCACCATGAGGTCTGGCTGGCTTCTGGACACTGACTGTCCTATAGGGTCTGATTAGCCCTAAGGGACTGATCAGACCTTGGACACTGACCACTATCTGGACACTGACTGCAGCCAGGGGTTTGACCACTTGGCTCAGGACATGATGTCAGTGACAAGCTGGGGTCAAAGAGCAAAGATGTCTTTTCTCCCTTAGTTAACATTGCGGTTCTCAGTTACAGAAAGGTGACAAATAATTGTCAAAGAACTAAACTACAAAACAATTAATACTCACCAAAGTAAAATAACTTGTATTACATCTGTAATGGGCTACAGTTCTAAAGGTCATGCAGGAGCAGAGGAACCTGAGTATAAACGTGCACAGTTTTGTTTTATTCATTCATGGGATGAGGGGGTAGCTGGCTAGGCTAGTATTTATTGTGCATCCCTAATTGCCCAGAGGGCAGTTAAGAGTCAACCACATTGCTGTGGGTCTGGAGTCACTTGTAGGCCAGATCAGGTAAGGATGGCAGTTTCCTTCCTTAAAGGACAATAATGAACCAGGTGGGATTTTCCAACAATTGACAATGGATCCATGATCGTCATTAGATTCTTAATTCCAGATATTTTATTGAATTCAAATTCCATCATCTGCCATGGTGTGATTCAAACCTGGATCCCCAGAACATTATCTGGGTCTCTGGATTAACAGTCCAGCGATAATACCACCAGGCCATTGCATCCCCCTGTGTCATTGATGTGGCAGGACAGGTAGAGAAAGCAGTAAATAAATCATGGTGTCCTCAGCTCTATCAATAAGGGGAATAGAGTAAAGAGCAAGGAGGTGATGTTGAACTTGTATAAGACATTTGTTGACCTCAACTGAAATATTGTGGGTACCACATTAAAGGAAAGATGAAAATGCATTGGAGAGATTGCAGAAGTATTTTACTAGAATGGTTCTAGGTATGAGAAGCTTCAGCTATGAGGATAGATTGAAGAAGGTGGGACTGTTAGGGAGTGGGCTGGACAGAGTAGACAGGGTGAAGGTGCTTCACTTGGAAAAGAAACAAGAACAAGACGGCATAGATTTAAAGTAATGTACAAATGAAACAAAAGCGATGTCTGAAAAAGTTTTGTCACACAACGACTGATTAGGATATAGAAAGCACTGCCTAGAAATGTGGTGGAGGCAGGCTCAATTGAGGCATTCAAGAGGGCATTTTTTTTTGGATAGTAGTGGTATGCAGGGATATGGAGATTGGCACTGGATGATATTGAGCTGCACTAGAAATAGAATCAATGCAGCCACAATGGACCAAATGGACCACATGTAGAAGAACGTGCTGGAGAGGCTGAAAGGTTTGAAGGTGAATAAATCACCCGGAATGGATACACTGTACCCCAAGGTTCTGCCGAGGAGATTGTGGAGGTATTGGTGGTGACCTTTCAGGAATCACTTGAGTCATTGATGGTCACAGAGGCAGAAAAATGACTAATGTAACACCCCTGTTTAAGAAAGGAGGGAAGCAGAACACAGAAAATTATAAGCTGATTGTGGAGTACTTTGAAGTGCATGTTAAAGTAAAGCTGAGTCAGCACAGCTTCATCAATTAGAGGTCATGCCTGACAATTCTGTTAGAATTCTTTGAGGAGGCAATGAACAAGTTAGACAAAGGAGAGCCAGTAGATATCATCGATTTGGATTTCCAGAAGACCCTTGACAAGGTGCGATGCAGGAGGCTGTTCAATAAGATAAGAGCCCATTGTGTTATGGCAAAGTACTAGCATGGATAGCGGACTGGTTGACTGCCAGAAAGGCAGAGTGGGGATAAAGGGGTCTTTTTCAGGTTGGCAGCCAGTGACTAGTAGAGTTCTGCAGCGGTCTGTGTCAGGACTACAGCTAATCATGTCATTCGTGAATGATCTGAACTGAGGGCATTATTGCTAAATTTCCAGATGACATAAAGATAAGTGGGGGGACAGGTAGTGTTGAGGAAGCAGGGAGGCAGAAGGACTTGGACAGGCTAGGAGGTGGGCAAAGAAGTGGCAGATGGAATACAACCTGGGAAAGTGTGAGGTTATGCACTTTGGCTGGAAGAATAGAGGCATAGACTATTTTCTAAATGGGGAAAGGTTTAGAAATCTGAAGCATACAGGGCCTTAGGAGTCTCAGTTCAGGATTCTCTTAAGGTAACATGTAGGTTCAGTTGGCACTTAGGAAGGCTAATGCGATGTTAAGATTCATTTCAAGAAGGCCAGAATACAAGAGCAGGGATGCACTGCTGATGTTGTATAAGGCTGTAGGCAGACTGCATTTTGAATATTGTGAGCAGTTTTGGGCCCTGTAGCAAAGGAAGGATGTGCTGGCATTGAAGAAGCAAACTGTTTCGATAGAAATCAACATGGTTACAGAAATACTTAAAGGTTAATCATTAAACCCCTTCAGACATACAGAAAATCCAATATCATTCGTTCAAAATCAATAATCCAATCTCAAAAATACATGATATTAAAATACATATAAATCAATCACCCTAAATCACAAGGTGACAATATGCAGAATTTGTGTAACAAAAGCATTTAATTTTCAGCAGGAAGTATGAACTATTTTACCCGGACCAACAATCTTTGCCCTCTCTGTGTTTTTTTCTGAGACTTATTCATCAAAATTTGTAAGTCATGCACCCACTGGAACATCTCATCACCATAAGTGAAGGTTTCTACAGGAGAAGTCTTCATTACTGCAACCCAAGAATTATCAAAAGCAGAATCTGGAAATGACCATCATTGTCTCTAGACTAAAAGAAAATCAGCCAGATAAATGCAATTCAGGAAGAAATCCCAAAGTGACTTTTGACCAACATTTGGACAATGTGAATAATTCTCTTTTTATAAATTTAACTGTTATTTGTTTTAAGTTAACACTCTGCAGTTTTGTTTTAAATCCAGACCCGGATGCGTTAGTTTTCATGACAGTTGGTTACAGTTTAAATCCTTGTTAATTAGATGCTGTATCTTCTCTTGAGCATATCTGTTTGCAATAAACTGGATCTTTATTTATCACCAAAGGAATCTGGTTGAGTTGTTTCTGTGACTGAGCTTTGTATGGTCTGATTTGTAGTTGACAATATCATGCCCCTTTTTAAACTGATACATTGTTATGAGCAGTGGAGGAGTGGGACAAAGAAAGGAATTGACTCTCTTCCTAACTTGGTCAGAACACGAACACATTTTTGACTATAACGTAACAGAATAATAAAGTCCAAATAAATATTTCAGTGAATGCCAATTTGCAGAAGTTTCATAGTTAATGTTAGGAAATCAAAGGAATCAAAATTCTTCAGTTGCTTAGGTGAAAATCCTCTTACAACCTTAGCAGAAATCTTCTGAAATTTACCTTCACTAAGACTCAGATAGGGAAAGTCCTGACTCTATCTCTATTTCTGGGATAGCCATATGCTTGCAGAGCTTCTGGCTATACCTACAACGTCGTTAGCTTTGGTGGGAAGGTGAGGTTATGTGGCAGGTGGAGCAGCAAAGGATAGGGTTTCATTAAGCCAGGAACTGTTCTGCCCTGGAACTCAGTTAAATCTTTGTATAAAATTGGTGGAGGTAAACTTGGAATCAGACTACTTCCTTAATCCTTAAAAAGAAAAGTAATTCCCTGACTGAAGGACCACTCCTATTCTCTAATCAGGGACATGGATCTTACCCCAATTCCATAAGGTAGCAAGGCTAGAGAGGCAAAATCTAGCATGGACACAATGTTCTGCATGCCCAACTTCTATACTGCATCTATTCTGAGATTCCATATGATTAGTTTCCAGTCATGTTTGCAGGTTGTAATATTTCAGACCTTCCCAAGACCTTTTCCTTTTAGCTCACCAATATTGGTAGAGTCAGCAAAGCTCACAATTCTGGAATAACTACTGGGATTTTGTTTACAAGGAAATTCAATTCAAAATGTTTACTTTTCTGACACCACATCATCTACTGGAATATAATCATCATCTGCAGTTATTTCATCAGCCCATTTGTGCAGGAGACTGTACTGACAGGGGTCACACTCAAATTTAGTGAATACATTAATGCCGGAGATCATTCTCCAGTCTTTTCTAGTAGGCAAGCGGATTTTCTTCACTTCATTGTCCTGTGCTGTAAATCCAAAGAATTTCTTGATGTGTTTCGAAGCATAAAGTTGAGAATGTCTTTTAGCCGTCTCCTGAAAGAGTGAACTCTCATTTTCCAAGTACTGGACCCAGTAGTTTAGGTGCAAAAAACAGAGCGGAGAACAATATCTTGGAATGCAAACAGTCAAAAAAGCAATGATAGTCACAGAAGCAACTAAAATCCATCCAGCCACCTATGATTAAAAAAGAAAAAAAGTGAGAAATATCCACATTATCAGAAAAATTGCAGTCAATTTCATTAGGGTCACTTCAATCTAACTTGCGGCAGAAAAATGGCAGTCAGAGCTGGTGGAAAGGTAAGATTGGTTTTGTTGCATGACATGTCTATTAATTTGATAGTGGCAGTGGAACACAGGGTAATTTTAAATTTGTGATAGCATGAAATGAATTATAGGAAGTCCGCAGCCCATTCAACAATTCTCTTGAGTTTTATTTTCATTCAAGTAAATGCTCTTAACATTTTTTGTTGAGAATGATCTGTGGCATCAGCATCTCAAATTACTTAATCAGTCTATCAGCACTTAATTTAACCTGTCTTCTTCTGAACTGGCTGCAGTCTGTTCTCTGAGGTCTGCGCTTGATTTTTTTAAAGTCAAACCTGCACTAAGTGTGCTGCTATGATGACCATATAAAGGAAGAGCAGGAGTAGTCCATTCAGCCCCTCAAACCTGTCCTGCCATTCATTAAGACCATAGCTAATTTGGTTGCAAGTTCAAATCTGCATTCCCACCTACTCCTGTTAACCTTTCAACTCTTTGCTTAAGAAGAATATATTTACGTCTGCCTTAGGAACATTTAAGGATTCTGCTTCCACCAAATTTTCAGGAAGAGAGTTCCAAAGACTCAAGACCCCATACATAGAAAAAAAAATCACCTAATCTCTGTATAAAAATGGGCAATTACTCATTTTTAAAACAGTCCAAGATTCTCAGATGAGGAACATCTTATTATCTACCCTGTCAAAAACCCTCAGGATCTAATATGTTTCAATCAAGACACATCTTACTCTTCTAAACTCCAATGGAATCAAGTCTGGCCTGTCCGACCCTTCCTCATGAGGCTATCCACCTATTCCAATGTACTAATCTAATAAAACTTCTATGCAGGCTCCACCGCTTTTACATCCCTTCTTAAATAAAGTGACCAATACTGTATTCCAGATGAGGCCTCACTTGTAGCCTGTATAACTGAACCATAATCTTGTGGCAAGTAATAAGGCAGCAAATTGGGGGAATCTCAAACTAGGGGACATAGCTACAGAGCAAGAACAGAAGAAATAGGAAATAATAAATAAACAAGACATAGCCATTTGGCCCTTCGAGCCTGTCCTGCCATTGAACAAGACCACGGCTGGTCTGCCCCAGGCCTGTATATCACGCTGTTTTTGTTGTTGAGCATGCAAGTAGTCCTGTTTGATAGCTTAACCAAGTTGACACTTAATTTTTAGGTATGCCTGGTGCTGCTCCTGGCGTGTCCTCCTGCAGTCTCTTTGAACTAGGGTTGATCCCCTGACTTGATAGTAATGGTTGCGTGGGGGATATGCCGGGCCATGAGGTTACGAATTGTGCTGAGCTATAATACTGCTGCTGTTGGTGGCCAACAGTGCCTCATGGATGCTGACTCTTGAGTTGTTAGATCTGTTCAAAGTCTGTCCCATTTAGCACAGTGCTGGTGCCACACAACATCATGGAGGGTATTTTCAATGTGAAGGTGAAACTTGTCTCCACAAGGTCCATGTGGTGCTCACTCTTCCCCCACACTGTCATGGACAGATGCATCTTAGTAAGTCTGAGGTTAAGTCTGTTTTTCCTCTTTTGATTCCCTCAACACTTGGCTGCAGATCCAGTGTCATAACTATGTCCTTTCCGACCCAACCAGCTGGAATAGTAGTGCTGCTGCCGAGCCACTCTTGGTGGTGGACATTGAAATCCCCCACCCAGAGTGCACCCTTAGGGCTTCCTACAAAATTTGATCTGTATCCAATACACTTCATGACAGAGGGAAGAATTTATTGGCATCAAAATGCAATATAGTAAACACAGATCAGAATTTAGTTAAAAGGAATAACAAATAAGTGCATCAAAATAGCACTTTTCACAAATTCGCAATGCTCCAATCTATTTCACAATCAATAATTTTTGAAGTACGGTCGCTGCTATAATTTAGAGATGCATAGAGGAGAGAAATTATTTTGCCAGTAATATTGGTTCATGGGTGATGGACAGAAAGTTCAGAATCACAGCTAACGAAAACTTGATGAAATGCACTTCCGTTTTATACTTAGTAACTAACAGCAAAATTATAGCAACCAGTCAATGTGCTGAGTACTGTAACATGGGAGGGCGCCTTCAAAATTGCTTCATATTACTGATCGTTCAAATTCAAGCTCTTTGTAAGAATGGACTACATGTTATATCTACAAATATTTTGAATATCGAGCTATTTTTTTCTGAAGTAAAGAGACATACTTTCTATTTTGTATGAATGACCAGTTATCATTTACATAACGAGATTGTAAATTTGCTAAATGTGACAAATGTAACACTGATGTCAGGTAAACAATTATAATTAAATTTAAATTATTTCGGAGACGCGAAAACACAAAATTCCTTTCATTGCCAGAAATTCCCATTTCAATTGTTCACTCGTGTTAAAGAAACAAAATACTGGTACAGCTGCGCATACCTGGGACTGATACAGAAGAATCCGGTTACCTTCATTTCTAATTTCACTGATGTTATGTATCTCCTTAATGCTCACTTTCGGACAGGGAAAGCGAGCGAGAATGTCCTTCCGCTCACGAAGGGTGATATTCTGAAACACATTCCAGCTGCTCACTGACAAAAACTCACTCATGCCGCACTGATAATACAAACCATTTAACAGAGTGACTGCCACCCAAGTCACTGGAGCGATTACAGCTCTTCCCGTTACACTGAGCAGGACATAGCAGATTAGTTTGAAACTATTAAGCTTCAATTGGGCTCCATTTCTAAAACTCATGATTAATTTCCAGGTCATATTATTAATGGCATATCCAAGAATCAACAGGACCAATGCGGGGACCGCAATAAAAGACAGGGCGTAGTATAAATTCAATGTCGTCTTGCATGGACATTTGAAGGTGAAGAACGAAAATACTTGTTGACTAAAAACTGTTGTCAGAGTTATTACTGTATTCAGAACCATTCTCTCCCTGCCTTTCCAAAATGTCAGGAGATTGGTAATCGGCATTTTTTAAACTTTGCCTTTGTTCTCTTGGTACCACAAGTAGGTGAGCGTTGCTTTGTTCTTCTGTTCGGGAATGAGATGAGAAACCTATTGAGCTCAGCTTCTTTTGAAGAGCTGCATCACTTCCTTTGTCAAAATATCTCTTTTGCTTCTCATGGTCATTACAAGATGTCTTGTAATTAGTAGAGGACAGGGAATATACTGGTTTGTCTTCATTCTTTTTGAGGGTCATTTGGATTTCTAACCACTGACAGCTTTACTGATGAATGGGCTTAGTGGACTTTTAATTCAAATTCAAGTGTGATTTTATTCAACAAGGAGAATAACTTGTAAGGACAGAGGGATCAATGGTGATGGTCCACAGGAAAATACAGTTCAGTTTAAAGTTATAAACTCATTTTGAAATGTCTTATTTGTCATTCAGAACTAAAGACTACTTTGTAGAGTGAATTCACATCTGGAGCAATTTCACTTCATTTACTTGGGTTTGTATTGAAGGTGGCCAATTCATCAACCGTGGGACAAGTGTCATTTTTCCTCCTAACTGAATGATTGGCACAAGGTAATTGATTTGTATCTCTGTTGTGATAAAAACAGAAAAGGCTAGAGAAACACAGCAGATCCAGCAGCATCTGCAGAGACAGAAACAGAGATAAAGTTTTGTGTCTGATGTGACTTCTTCAGAACCGCTCTGAAGAAGAGTTACGCTAGATTTGAAAGGTTAACTCTGTTCCTCTCCCTAGATTCTGCCAGATCTGCTGAATTTCTCCAGCGTTTTCATCTTTATTTCATATTTCCAGCATCTACAATATTTTGCTTTTATTTAAATGTATCTCTGCTACATTCACCGGCTGTGAATCCATACATGATGATATTCTTGCCTAACAAAGAATTGAGTATCTCAATTTGACTCAACTTGCACATGATTTTGGAGCAGAGAACTTTACACAATCATTTGTACCAATATGTTTTGTTTTCACTTTCTTGGTCCAGCTCTAATTTTAAGATTGTGCTGTGTGGTCCTAGATATCCAGTACAGAGTAACTAGTCTCATTGTAATTACACTAATCAAGCCCGTTCCTATTTGAAAGACATTATTTGTACTTATAAAGCTGACACTGTCTATTCCAGCACTTCAATAGTGCGGACATATATAAATTAAATTCAGGAAATTCATTTCATCATTTCTAGTTGGGCAAATGAATCAATTAATTCATTTAATTGTGTGTGGCTCATTCAATGGAAACAATCACAATCACTTCATTATATATGTCTCAGTGAACAAACTGACATTCCTCTGAGGCAATACCCCATTACCACTTCTCTGGTGATTATGATTTTCCCGAGTTCTTCCTTCCCTTGCATTTCCTCATTTATGTTTGTTTCTGTGATATTTCTTGTCACCCATATGGTGAAGACTGATGCAAAATACCAGTACTCCTTAACCAACAAGATTCAAAGTTTGAGGGATGTGGGGAGCATGGGAAAATGAGGCAGAAAATCAGACAGGGTAATATTAAATAGCAGAGCAGGCTCAAGGGGGCATATAATTTATTGCTCCTATTTTTACTGAGAACAAAGCAGGAGAAGAACTGAGATACAGCATGAATTAAAGTCAAATACGTACTGAAAGAAAAATAGAGGCAAACAAATATTTGTTTGAGACAGAGAGAAAAGACATAAAAAGGAAAAGTCAGCAGTGAATTTAGTGTAAGATTTGACTTTTTAAAAACCTCTAAGATCAATAACAATCTGAATGAATGAGTGTTCAGTTTTAATTGTTCATATTTTGGGCAAAAGATGTTGACTGGAGTTAATTAGGTCCATTAGCAGCCATATCATTAAAGGGGTGCTAGAGCTCCTAATTTATTGATCTTATTCTCTGCGGCACGTCAAATGTGTGAGTCAAACATTTTCATGAAACTCATGGGAATTTTAAGAACAAGATATTGTTATTATGAAGCTAATGGCAGAGGAACACAAGTCATTCAGCAACCTGTAAGGACAGGCAATTCCTGGAGAAATATTGTTTTTATTGGCTCATTTGCACATTAATAACAGGGTGTGTCATTCACAAACCAATTTTTTCCACAACTTCTGTAGGAATAAATCAAACAGCAGATATGGACTACAATCTTGAATAAATAAATGTTAAGAAGTAGAATCCAAAATGGGCGAGGAACTTGATATTTGGCATGAATTAATTCACAATGCATATATCATGGCAAGTGGTTTAACATTGGATACCAGGGAGAAGAATTATGCAGCTGAGAAGAATCAATAGCCAGTAAGAACTAAAGATTATTCCATTAAAGAAAGCTATAACAAGTTTAAAATGTATAAAATGGATGTAAACAGAAATAGCAATGGCCATCAAAATGGTACTTAATCAATACTAAATTTTCTAAAGTGAACAAAAGCTTCAAAGAAAATCTATTTGCAAGCTTTAAAAAAATTGACTGGCTGAAAAAGACATAATACTTATTTTCTGCACAGTTAACTAAAAGCAAGATGACAGATGAGTTGCTGTGGATATTGGGTGTATGTCAGTTTGCTTTGCAGGTGTTCCCATTTATAACAAAAATATGACAACAGAAAATTAGGTGGTGTGGGCAGTCATTAAATAATGTTTAGTAAATAAATACTTACCATTGCCCAGTTAATACCTCATACCAAGATTTGCATCTTCATCAAATTATAGAGATCTATAGAACAGAAAAAGGCCCTACAACCCATTGAGTCTGCACTGAAAACCGGCACCTAACTATATTAATCCCATTTCCAGCACATGGACCACAGCCTTGTATGTCTTCGCTTTGCAAATGCATATCTAAATACTTTTTGAATGTTATGAGTGTTTCTGCCTCTACCACTCTAATAGGCAGGAAGTTCCAGATTCCCACCACCTTCTGGGTGAAAAAGGTTTTCCCCACATCTCCTCTAAACCTTCTGCCCCTTACCTTAAATTTATTCTCCAAGTCATTGATCACTCCATCAAGGGGAAAAGGTTCTTGCTGCCTACCCTATCTGTGCCGTTTATAATTTTATATATCCTATTATGTTCCCTCTCAGTCTCCCCGGATCGCATGAAAATGACACCAGTCTGTCCACTCTCTCTTCATAACTGAAATTCTCCAGTCTAGGCAACATACGGATAAATCTCCTTTGCACCCTCTCCAACGCAATCACATTTCTTCTTTAATTTGGATTCGAGAACTGCACACAGTACTCTAGCGGTGGCCTAACCAACGTTTTATACAGTTTCACCTCCTTGCTCTTTTAACTCTGACTCGGCTAATAAGGCAAATATACCAAATCTCTTCTTAACAACTTTATCCACCTGTCCTGATCCCTTAAATGGCTGATGTACATGCCCATCAAGGTCCCTCTGATCCTCAGTGCTTCCAGGGTCCTACCATTCATCATGAATTCCCTTGCCTGGGTTGGTCTGACCTGTTTGTCCTGTATAATAACATTACACATTGATTACCTTATAGAATAATGTGGGATAGATTGTTAAAAAATTAGTTTCATTGTTTGGAGAATGCTATTAAATGCTCCTCAAAACCCATAAAACTAAAAATAAAACTAACATACAAAGCTTTTTGTCCCTTTCTTACTGATCAGCATGTAGCAATTCCTTTTAAGTAGCACCAATTAGTCTGTTTGATGTGCATGGTGAACGTTTTACCTATTGGAACATAAGACTCTGATTTGTACGGGCTCATGCAGCTTCTTCTGCTAAGCACAGTGATAAACACCTTGGCTCTATCTATTTAAATATCACAACCAAATTACTTGTGATCTGGATGTTGTGATAGGAACAAATCCATAAAATTCTGTGCTGCTTTTTTAAATTGTGCTGCTTCTCATTCCTACTTACTAGCGGGGATTAATATCATCTTTTTTTAAGCTGTCAGCCTCTCAATGGGAAATTAATCCAAATAACAGTAATAGTAGTGAATTCCTATATTTGCTTGTTCAAATTGAACTTTGAGAAACCAGAACTATCTGCACTATCACTCTCATTAACTTTTGATTCTTTTTCTCATACATTTATGTAGGCTGCCAAATTCACTTCATGGGTGAATTTTTATTGCATTTGTGGTTCTTAATTAAACAGTTTTCTTAATACAGAAGCTGAAGTGACAAATGTGAGGAAATCATGATTTTTAGGAAAATTACGCTATGCATTTAAATTTAACAACTTTAACAATATGTCCGTTTAACATCAAGTACGTAATTTGGACTCAAAGTGAATTTTTGTAAGCTTAGCTTGCACACTTGCTTGTAACTGCTTTGAACTATACTGAGGCAGTTTAAATCAGTGCTGTGATGTAAGATGTGTGTATGTACATTTGTTTTTCATTTTTGGATCTGCTATCCACCTCCCCCTCTCTCCCTATTTATTTCAGAACCCCCTTCCCCTCCCCCATTTCTGAAGAAGGGTCTAGGCCCGAAACGTCAGCTTTCCTGCCCCTCTGATGCTGCTTGGCCTGCTGTGTTCATCCAGCTCTACACCTTGTTATCTAAGATGTTATTTGCTGCCTAGTTTATTGAGTCATACTTATCCTTTATAAATCTTTCCTCTTTGCTATGTTTTGACAATCTTGCTGTTGACTTATTTTCCACCCAAATTGCTTACCTGAAAGCAATCCTAAGGGTTTCATTGGCGCAGGACTGGGGTATTATTTGAAATGTTTTTTTTTCCATATCACACATAAAAAGAAAGAAAACAGAAGCAGGAGAAGGCCATTTGGTCCATCAAGCCTGCTCCTCCATTTAAAATGATCATGTTTGATCTTCTATCTCAACCCCATACTCCTGCATTATCCCCATATCCCTTGTCACCTTTGATGTCTAGAAATCTATTTCTTTCTTAAATATATTCAGTAATTTGGCATCCATAGCCTTAGTGATAGAGAATGCCATAGGATTACCATTCTTGGAGTGAAGAAAGTTATCCTCAACTTATCCTGAATGACCTACTAATATCCTGAGAG